CTCAAGGATTGGGACGACAACGACGAGCCCTGGGAACAGCACGCCCTGTGGCTAAGTCAGTGCCGATTCGTCAAGCTGATGAAGGGTCAACTCTATATCGATACGGTGGCCGCCAAACCAGAGCCGGCCGAGGAAAAGGAGGAGAGCTCTACGATTGGAGGGGACGTGGCCAGCAGGCAAGCTTCAGGAGAGGAGCAGACATCATTGCCATCGGAGGAGGGCGGTTCGGGGGATGTGGCCCCGTCCGTAGCTCCCACGGCAGCCACACGCATCTTCAACAAGATCATCGAGGCGACAGCGTTGGCTCCCTCGTCCAGCAGCAGCGTCTCCAACTCCATACCCGAGGAGAAGCTGTGCAAGATCTGCTACGGCGCCGAGTACAATACGACATTCCTGCCCTGCGGTCATGTGGTGGCCTGCGCCAAGTGCGCCTCCTCTGTGACAAAGTGCCCGCTGTGCCGGAAACCCTTCACCGATGTGATGCGCGTATATTTTTCTTAGGAGCCAAGTCCCAAGTCCTTGAATTCGATATAAATATGTGTAAAACCATGTCAAAATGTGTTAATCATAAGTGTAGGAAAAAATGGTGGTTCAACAGGCGATCGCAACGGCCAGCTGTTGGGATGCCCGGCAGCTGGCCGTTGCACTTGACAAGATCACAAAGCCTGGTAGTTATCGTAAGCCTACATTGTAATATTAGCTTAGTGCAGCACTTCTATGCGTTATTTATAATAAAACTAATATATGACCGAAAACTCATTGCCATTTCGCCGTGTTTATGTGGGGACTAAAAGGCGCTGATCTGACGGCGCCACGTCGCCAATTTCGTAGAATTCTCATTGGTATGTGAATCGTAAATATCTTGGCTATCTGGGTTGCAATTAGCTTTATTGTACTGATATTGTTTGGTTTTAAGATTACAAAATCAGGTAAACTTTTTAATCTTTCAACATTGATAAGAGGATTGCTTTTATAAAGCTGCTTGTTAAAAATGTCAAAATATTTATGCATTGTTCAGTCTTTGCAAGTACCGCGATAAGAAAGCCTACACATTGGCCTCGTATAGAGCCTGACAAAGTGAACGGCTCTTATCTTATCAGACATTGAATTTATAAGGTTTTGCCATCATTCGCTCACCCACTCCTAAATAAAGTGCATTCAACTGGAATTGCAGTGCAGTGATAACAGGGCTTTTTGTTGCGTTTTTCAAGCTGACTGCTGAAATTTCAGGTTTTTGACAAGGTGATTTGTTTTTGGAGCGCAGATTCGGATTGGAGCGTTTTCCACCTCATCAGATAAGCTCGCAGTGCATTTCAATTAGTACAGATCCGGTTTCGCATTAGCCAAGGTGAGAAATGCTGAATACCCTGCGAGCGGGTAGGTGCGGCTTTTCGGTTGCATCACCCCATATGAATATGGATATGATATATTCATTACCAAACGCCTCGATGAATGAAACATTTGCCTGAGTCACAAGTTCTAAGAACTGCAAAAGGTACATACATATGCCACGTGCTATTTACTAGTAGAGTTCAAGTATCAGAGATCATAGCTAAAATGCCATTTGACTATTGCCGATCTATTATGCAAATTGCTGATCTAGATTCCGCTACTGGCAATCGTAAAGTCAGGCGGTGACCTTAGACTGCGTGAGGTTTTCAATTAACAGACGAAAGTTCCTAAGAAAATTGCCTTGATTTGTGTGGGAAACCAACAACTACACCACCACTTATAATATTTTTTAAAAAGTTGATTATGGAGCTTAACAATTAAAATTGAAATGCGTTTAGGTGGTTTGGGTATTCACCAATTAATAACATGGGCTTGAGAACAAGTTCAGAAATAAATAAATCCAGATGTTCGTTAAATACTATTTCATGAATAGAATGTGTAAAAATAAATATGTCTAAAATACCTCATTTCCTACATCTTAAATTGAAAATAACTGATGTCAACTTTAAACGATAATTTGCTGAAACTTGTTGGGTTCTTTACTTGGTTGCTTTTCAATTGGTTCGTGTGCTGGATAAAAGCAGACTGCCAAGTTGGTGTATGAGCTACAAGGGCTGCCAACCTTTTTTAAGCTGACACTTAGCGCACACTGAGCCGAATTACTTTTAGTTTTCATAATTAAGTTATTCTAATTGTTGAACAAGTAGATTTCTATTATTGTAGATATCTATTATTTATTATTAAAAATTTCAGTTCAGGTTGAAAATTTCCAAATTTATATAATCGTTGTTGGCCATGATAAAGGCCTTGCGCGCATTGACTTGTATGGCCAGATCCACGATATTCGTATTGCTGAAGTAGTCCATGGCAACCACATTGGCATTATTACCCCAAGGTCCTTTTAGCCACTTATTTACCTTGGGATTGAGCACCGCCGCCCGCTCCTTGGAGGTCTGCAGTTGGTGGGCGTTCAGTGTCTGCTCCATGCTCCTCACCGCAGTGAATATCCAGCCAACATTCCGTACCGGAGAATCCGGCTTCCTGCTGAACAGCAGACGCATATAGTCCAGAGTTTGAGAAATATTCATGAAGCTGGTGCTGAAACGCTGCCATGGCGGGCAGAGCATGTTCGATTCTGGAATGTCATTGAGATCATTTTGAGAACTTCTGTATTTCAAAATTTGAGCACACCTTTCTCCGGATAGGGCAACTCCTGCGTGGGAAATAATATGACCAAGTGCCTCTTTTGCAGCAGCAGCTCGCGGAAATTGCGATTCGCGCAGTTTTCGTCCTTGCTCACATTACGCCGATAGGCCTCATCACCCAGCTCCTGGCGAAGCAGGCGGAACAGCGAACTGTAGATCTCTGGGTGCTTGTAAAAGCCAATGGGAAAACTACTGAAATCCAGGACTACCATTTCGGCAGATCGTTTAACAAACTGACGTACATCACGCAGAACTCCAAGCAGAGGTGTAATCAGCATGTTCTCGTTGGCTATCCAGAAATTATCCGCATCTTTCTCCGTGTTCATGTTCTTGTATCTTGCAGGTAAAAATTGAGTTTTGTATCGGTAGAAAATAAAAATTTTAAATTAAATTCTTACCCTATGCTGAAATCGAGGTAACGAATGCCAAAGACCAGCTGCGACCAAACATCGAGTTGCTGGGCCACCAGGTAATCCCTGACCAGTATCGAATTGGACTTAGTGGAGCTGCCCAAGACGGCACCTGAGGCATGTGTGCCGGGCAGGAAGGTGTCCTTCAACTGCATCCGATCGACGTGCTTGATCTGGTTCATCCAGTTGGGCTGTATCTTGAGGCAATCCACGGTGAGCAGCTCAGTGCCATTGTAGCTGGCCACATAGTGTGGCAGGCACTTTCCCGTGGGATATTGCGTGGCCGTCTGATCGCCACTGTCCTGCTTATTCCAGCCACCAGGAAAGCGAAGCTTGCCCAGCTTGATGGGCGTCAGCATCTTGCCGGTCGTATTGAAAATCCCATTGATACGCAGGTCGGGCTGGAAGTTGGAGATGGTCGGATCCTGGCTGTAGATGCCCACCCACTGCGGTGGTCCATAGCAGTTGGGACCCCAATTGATCTCGAGAAAGGCGTCCTGCTGGGTTTTGCCCGTCAGCGAAATGGTGAGGTAAACAGGACAGCCCGCTGAAAATAGTACGGGTATAATCTAGGATTAAATAGGGAAACCAATTTCAAAGTGGCACTTCCAAAATCTCAGGGTAACGTCGTTGTTTTATATACATAACGAGTTAAGAATGAAGTCTTAGAGCTTGACAGCGTAAGATATACAAGACGAGGCATAGGTTTCAACGAACCTAAGATGGCAAATTGTAATTTGTTACTGTACGTAATACTTACCTTCAAGGGAGCCCATCAAAAGAATTAACTGCAGCAAAGGCACCAAATGTGTATATTTCTGTATCATCTTTAAACTTGACACTCAATTAGAAATTACGTGCACTTTGAATAGATTTGGCGTCTTGTTTGCTCGGCATTCCGACCCGAATTGAGGCGAGAGATACATTCCGTGCATTTCCACATACGAGTATCTCGTTCCCCGGCGACAATTGAATCAACCATTTTCGCCCCCGCAGCGCCTTTAACCGCCAATGAGCGATTTCGCATACTGAACTTTGATGTCGTTTGACCTGAGAGAGCACTTCAAATGAAGATTATTTGGGGGAGAAACATTCTACGATACATTTTCAGATTGATCTTGGACTTCCACAACAGGCATTTCTTTAAAATATAATATATACTTTCTTGGTCTGTCCAATAAATGTGTAATTATTTGTAATTAACTACTGCGTATATGCAGAAGTAATTTGTTTCTTGGGCAAGGGTAGTAGAAAATCTGACAATATAAGCGACTTCTTCTTGGAATCGTTCTTTCTAAAGGAAAGGTAGATATTGTTGCATCATTTTTACTTACAGGGCAAACAATTCAACTAAGTAAAGCGAAATAATTGCATAAGCCATGGGGCTAACCACTAAATAACATTTTAAAGTAAACATTGCTTCGATTTTTCCTAAATTTATAGAACCACATACCATCCTGAGCAGTCAAGCCGCAAAGTCGGGTTCTCGGATCTCGAACATTCCAATCTTTTGTTACTTACCTGGACGAACTTCCCAAATCTGGGCATTTTTATAGGCCACATACGGAGTTAAGCCATGATGAAAAGGAACTTCATTCTGAGTACCTTACTTGTGTTCGATGGGTGTTCGATGCATTTATGGGAAAATATACAAAAACGCCTTCGATGTAAATTTCTATAAAAACAATACCTTTACTTAAGCTTGTCCTAGATTTTCGCTCTTAAAACTGTGCTACATTCATTAGTTTACTGCTTTTGTTAGCTTTTTTAACTGAAGATATGCGCATGTGTGTGTTAAACACATAAGTGTGCTAATTCTGTTGGGACTCTGCCTTCAAGAAGGATTCATAACAGCGGTTTGGTAAAACGTTCTATTTTTTATTTTAGTATTTATTCATTGAATTCAAGAAGTTTTTTCATGACGTTTTAACGTTTAACGTTTAAATTGTAAACAGTTGAGTCGACAGTCTTGAAGCGAGCAGAATCTATTACTGTTCCCTCCACATCCGAGGTACGGCATCGTTTCGCATCTCCTGGATTCCCCGTTGAAGTACCAAATTCGGGGCGTGAAGTTCAGAGCACATGCAAATCCAAGCGCAGTTCCAACGTTTCTGGGTCCAAAACATGTCGGATTGCCTGGAAATTGTTTTTAAGATCGCTGAATGACTAGAAATCTCTTTGACTCACTTATTCGCGCGCGGCAGAGAAATTGGCAGTTTGCAAAGGCCACACTCAGAGTGAAACAAGCCAGAAATACAATGAAATTCATTGCCAGCCGATGCGAAATGATTCTAACAAGTCTGAATCTCGTTATTTATATAGTAAGCCAGATTATAAAATCTCAGCCTAAAAGCACTGATGATTAATAGGAGCGCTTAGTCGTTTTGTTATTAGAAAAATTACTTAATATTTCATTAATAAAACCACTGTGAAATAACAGGCAAGACAACTAGTTCTAATCTGCTGTAATGCGACGAATTTGGAATGTGCTTTTAATTTGAAATTTGTTATCGCAACTTAAATATGTTTGATAATGTCCATATATTACCTCTTATCAATCAATAGTGATGTAAAGATATTTTCAGAATTTCCGTAGACTCGTAAGAAAATAAATATTTTGAGTTTATACTAAAGCAGCGAAATCTTTTATGTCAGAAAGCACTTACCTACGTAAAGAACAAGAATTAAGTAATTGTTCTTCGGAGTAGTAAAGGCCTATTATTCACTTAAAAACACGTGCATGTTTCCTGTTTTGCCTCCCAGCTTTTGTAAACAACAATTGGACGCCGAAAATAAACTTTATACGAGTATTTTTAGAACTGGACTTTAAAAGGGGCTTGCCGGCAGAGTTAAGACCTTATTCTACAATCGTAAATCGCGAATGGCAGTTTGTGGCCAAAATGCGGAATAGCACTTTGATTCTCATCGCAGTAGTTATGGCTGTATGCCTTTTCGCGGATGTAACTGGAGTAACTCGGTGCAAGGGAAAGCCCAGTAAGTTGTTTTCAACACCAAATGTACTGAGTTATTTATTTCGAGACTATTCTAGAAAAGTCAAAGTGCGCTGGGAACCTGGATGGTGGTAACAATCGCAAAAGCAAGTGCAAGAAATCGGCCAACACAAATATGTGGCACTATAATGCACTGACAAAAAACTGCACCAAAATTAATTACCTAGGATGTGGTGGCAATGACAATCGCTGGTGCACAAAAGTATTATGTGAGGGCTGCCGGCCGAGACAAAATGGTTGAAATATATGAAAAGTAGAGTATATAAATAAATCATGAAATAACAAGACAGAGTTTGCATTTAATTATTTTTCGGGTTTATTGGATTGGTTTCCTTCTTCAAATATTGGTCGATTTCATCTTTTGAAAATGGTAACCACTTCATTTGAACAACGCTAACAAAAGCTAATAAGCTTGCGAATTGCATTACGTGTATGATTATCACTAAGTTTAAGTACAACAATTCTTAGGGCTAAACTTCAACCAGTTCTGTACAGGCTTAGCATAAGTTACTAGTTTAAATAGTTCATTTGTGTGCGATTTATTCTCGTTTAACTATAAATTCTATACAAACATTGCTACAATTATTTATTCGATTTGTTCACTTCGCTTCTGGTTAGCTATTGTATTTTTTATTCATTTTATTTATTTTTATTTTTCTTCAACGGAATGCGGGCGGTTTTAAGTTAAGTATTAAGTATTTGATTTTCGTTGCACAGGTACGCAATGATATGTGAAGGCAGCTGTTTATCAATTTCATTCATTCTTACTGATCTGAGGTAGGTACAAAATAAATGTATAAAAAAAATATAAAAAAAAATAATAATCATATGCGTGGGGCATTTAAAACAGTCTAGATTCCACACAAAAGTAAAATCCTAAACGGGCCATAAATTATCAAATAAATTACATAAACATTTACGTTCATTAAGCATATCTATGTAAACTATGCTATTTATCAATATATATATGTAAAAAAACATAAAAACAGTCTTGTGGTTGCATTTGTGTTTAGTTTCTCGTCAAGCAGATTTCATATCTTTGATTATGATTGCAGAATGCGAATGAATAAATGTGGCGAATGTGAATGTGAATACGAGTTCGAGTACGAGTACGAGTACGAATACGATTACGAATAGGAGTTGCAGTTCGAGTAGGACTATAAATAAATTCTGCTTAATTACTGGGTACTATGCGCATGTCTTTTCTTCTTGGTGTGTTCTAGGAATTGGAGTTATCTCCGCTAGTGTGAGTGTGTTTTGGGGTGGTATTATGTAATATTTACAGAGCGCCCCAACTACAAACTATATATATAAAGGGCGCCTATTTACAGTAGGGTGGGTCGAGTTCTAGACCTCCAAAAAGTGCTCGCAAATCGTAGGGTTTTCTTTTTTAGAAATAATAAAAACTAAAGGGAAGAACTCTTCCTTACTGGTCTTACTTCTTGTAAATGACTGAAGGAATAGCCAAATCGCATGCAACTAAAGATCAGAACTCTCTTGTAGCCTATGAAACACTAAGATATTTAACTAACTTGTCATAGTTTTAAGCTTTAAGATAGAAACCAAGAAAGGGTGCATAATAATATCCCTTAGGTATTTTTGTTTCCCTACGATTTTCTTGCCCATTTCTGGATCCCCCCGAATGGTACAGGGTATTTGGTGAGCCTAGTTGGCCTGCTGGGTGAGCATGTTGACCAATTCGGTGCGCTCCATGTTGTTGAGCGTGTGCATGTCGACGCCCAGTGCAGCGGCCACCGCCTCGATGTCCAAGCCGAAGGCGGTGAGCAGCTCCAGGAAGCGCATCTCCTCGCCGGTCATGGGATTCGTGAGCGTGGGACAGGAGTGATTGCATTGCGGCCAACTGCAGCGCTCCAGGAGACGGAGGCCGCATTTCTCCGGCACTCGGGGTACGCGATTGCGCTTCTTGGACTTTGTGCCCGCGGAGGCGTTGTTGGAGGAGCGTGTCTTCTGGGGCGCACTCGCCTCCAGCAGAACTCCGGCTGCCGGCTGCTCCCGCTGCATTTTCATCTGCTGCTGCTGAGCCTTCCTCCGTCGCTTCCGCTGCTCCTGCCTTTCCTCGGGAGTCAATTGCTGGCGCCGTCGCTGTTTCCGCTGATCGTTGCCGTTGCCGTTGCTCGACTTGGGGCTGTTATCCTTCTTGTTGCGATGCTCCTGCGCTCCATTGGCCTTCTTTTGCTGCTGCTGGCGGCGTCGCTGCTTCCGCCTCTGTCGCTGCTCCTGGCGCAATCGCTTCCGCTCCTCCCGCTCCTCCTTGCTCAGGTGATTGTGCTTCCGCTGCTGCCCTCCAGATTGGGCCACGTTGTTCTGCTTCTGGCGCTGCAGCCGCTGACGGTGTCGCTGGTGTCTTTGGTTATTGGCATGTGCTGGATGCGAGACCGCCGTCGTTGGCTCCGTGGAACGCTTGAGCTTATCGTGACGCCTGCTGCGTGTTGAGTGCTCCCAGCAGCGCAGCGCCGAGGGCAGGGATATATCGTCGATCTTGATATTGACCCAATCCCGTTTGAACAGCACCCCATGACCTATGCAACTGGGTGCAAAAACTGCGCTCACATTGTCTAGCGAGGATCGCAGGGCGCCGCCCATTTCGTGGATGTAGTTCCATTGCTGAGGCGTCACGGGTGCTCCAACATTATCCACTCGCATTTGTGCCTCGTCGAAGAGCCATTGGAAAACGAAAAGGGGCGCTGTTTGGTGGGGAAAAGCGGTTTAAATAAAATCTAGAGTCTCTACCACTTCTAGAAAACTTACTTTTTAGAGTGGGATACAGTCGGTAGCCGTAGTAACACCTCCAGGGCTCCGTGGGATAGGCTTTGGTGCAATCCTCGGGCAGCAAGCCCTGCCACAACTTCCATCCCTGACGCACTGCCTCATTGGAGGCCACTGCCGCCGGCGTGTATGGCTCTCTGTCCAGGAACCAGCCAGAGTCACTCACTCCTCTCACTGTGATCTGTAGCTTTTTCTCGTTCACAAGAAAGTCGCGAATGCGATCCAAATTGAGCATGACGCCCAGGCCACCAGCCGATGAGCCCACCAGTAGCAGTTCGCCGCCCGGCACTCGACCCAATCCCACGGGAATCAGCTCCGCGATCACCTGGCGCAGGATCAGGGCTCCCATGAAGCGCCAACTGTTCTCCCGATCGCTGGTATCCGGCTCCGTTCGCGTTCCCGACCACGAATCACTGCTGCAGTACGGGATGAGCACGTGGTTGGCATTGTGCCAGTAGGGATTCTCCTCGGGATGCGGCGACAGAATGCCTCCGACTGGAAAAGGCAACAAATCATTGGTCATTATATGTTAAACTATATAAATACAAAATTTATTCGGTATCCGACTCACCGTCTCTCGTCTCTGGCCACTGGGAGGAGGTCATGAGGTGGCGCAGTCGCATCCACCTGGCGCGGCACGAGCGCACATCGAAGCAGTGCCAGCCGCCCTCGAGTAGGACGATCCACTTCTTGGAGCTGGCATGCTTGCGCAGGTAGAAGCCGGCGTGGCTGCCATCGTTGCAGACGATGCTCGAGTTGGCCAGGTTGGCGCGCTTCAGGGAGCGGCTGTGGTCGCCGGAACCGCTGGCCGAGTGCATCACCATGTAGTTGCGCTGGATCATGTTCATGCTGGTGTCCCTCAGGGGATCCTTCTCCTGCAGACTCGCTGCGTCCAAGATGCTGCTGCTCCGCACGGCTGGCAGCTGACTAAACGTGGCCAAGAGCAGCAGAAGCGTTAGCAGCGGCGCTGCTGTCTGTGTAATGGAGAGAAGAGCAGGGAAGAGAGTGGCTTTAGACTCAGAGTTTACAGAGTTGGCAATACATGGCCCAGACTGAGACGATGGAAGAGATGCTGCTCTCTGTTTGGGCCGAAAATCACTCACGGCTCTCTCAAGCGCGCAGTTGTGTGTGTGTGTGTGTGTTTTTGGCGGAAAACTTGCTTTGATCAAAATGCGAGCAAGAAGCTTTGCGATAAGATCAAAGAAATTGTTGCCGCCTGCCGTTTCGTTGTGTTATTTTCCCCCCTTTCCCTTTGTCACGTTTTTTTTGTATTTTTTTGGTAGATTTGTTGTCGTTTTGGTTGTGTTTTTTACATAGAGAGAAACACGGAGAGACAACCTTAAGGTATTTAGTCAAACACGGCAAGAAATTGTTGTTAATCAGTCAAACAAATTTCAATTTCACAATGTCATGGCCGCTGACGCGTGGTAATCACCAGTTCTTGGCTTTGAACTTAAGGTCGCCTCGTTGTTTCTTTTTCCCTCTTGTTTACCCCTTTTTTTTTACACACATCAATCAAATGAGCTATCTGGCGATTTGCTTCGTCGTTTCGCTGATTCTCGACTTCGAGTTCGGGTTTTTGTTTAGCTATTTTCCAGCAATTTGTAAATAAGACAATAACAATAAGAACAACAAAACACATTTGCCGACAGCATGGGCAACGATTTTAGTGTCTCAGTGTGTCAGTCTGTCAATTCTGTCTACGGTCTTGCCTCCGCATAAATAACCATTCAGAAATCGTAAAGAAATCTTCAATCAATGTTTATACAGGCCTTTGAAGTCCGCCGATTCCTGCCGATTCGTTGCCGCCAGCCACGACAATTTGCAGACAGAAAAATGCAAATGACACAAACACGAAACGAAACAACAACACAAACTCTGGCAATTATATCGGCCAAAGGCCTACAAAGTATAATTTCGTTTGGGCCAACTCAACTCAGCTCAGCTCAACTCAACTCAAATGCAAAGTGGTCCTAACGGTAGCCAGCCAGCCGTCATTAAATATATCCATATATATCTGCGGCGATATCGGTGGTTTTGCCACTTATGTATTTATATATATGTTTATAAAGCCAACAATCTGGTTCCCCCAAATTCAAATGAATTATGCAAAATGCAGGAATTCAGATAAATTTGGTTTAACAAAATCATTGACAAATACCCCAGTTGATAACGTTTTAATAATAGTGAATTGATTTTATTTGACAGTATGCTTTATAAATTTCGATTAAGATGTGCGCAAGCTTGATTTATGAAAGCCATCAATTTATTTCGTTGAAAATACAAGTTTAAATCAATTTATTGATGAAAATGGTTTATTATTTCGATCGATATTAAATGTTATTTAAAAGAAAAACTTGTAATTGTAACAGCACAGTGTTATTCTTCCCTAGCAAATCGTTCCTTGAAAATATATTTTACTTATAAGAAACATATACTTTTAAGAACTAGCTCCATTCTCAGCTTTCTCAGACCGAACTCGCCCCATTCTGC